TTCCTTTTCATTAGCCTATGCATTTAACATAGCACTATGTCATGGTCATGCTTTTCTATAGTAGGAAAGATTTGTCACATTTGATATGCTTGAGTCAGAATATCAATTACTATCTACTGCTGCTCCAAGTAATATTTTGTACAACTTTTTCTTTTTTTAAGGAGGATAACACCTGTGTAGATGAAAAACAAGAGATGGAGAAACTAAGGAAGATGATGATTGAAAACAAAGCTGGCACTTTAAATAATATCAGTGAAAGTGAGTTAGAACAATATGCGAAACACATGCCAGAAGATAAAGTTTTCAGTAAATTCAGCAAAAGGGTTTCAAGGCACCCTGAACAAGTTTTAAGATATGACAGAGGTGGGACACCTTTGTGGATTACTGGCAACACAGACAATCATTTAATTTACATTCCAAACTGCCAATACTGTAATGGAAATAGACAATTTGAATTTCAGGTAAGAAATAATATGCACTAAACACAATTAGGTATTTAACACAAACAAATATTTCTACAAAAAAATGTATGAAAATATTTAAAAACATCTATAGAGTGCCAGTATAAGTACAAGCTGTGAGGCATTCCATCTTAGTCCTCAAAGGTGACAGTGCTTTTGTAACCTTTTTTATGTATTTGTTGTTAGCTGCTGTTAACCATGGACCGCAGTGCAGCAGTAATTAGCTAACACTTTATTGTATTTAATTATGCCTCGGCAGGCACAGTCAAGTGGTGACCTTAATTACTGTTGGTTTATTGCTATACATCATACATATAAGTCGCTTAAAACATTTATATGACGCAACTGTGCACGTTACTCGTCATTTATCATTACAGCTCTTCCCTGTAACATAGGCAGTTGTATAGCTGAACATAGGCCTCGCCTAAGGAATGCCACAGGGCACGGTCCTGAAACTGCATATTGTCGCCTGCACATCTAGTTATTATTGTCTACTTTACACTTCGCTTACTGATACGAAACGGCGACTCGAGAATCGGTTGTCGGTTCCTCCGAGCTATACTTGAGAGCCACTTGCTACTTCAGCTTACTGATCCATTGGGCTTTGTCAGCTGTCGCCCGGGTAATAAGGTGCAAATAACAATTAATCATAGTGACAGTATAAATTATTCAAATTCTAATAAAATTTTAGTGTTTTATAAACTTGTATAGCTATAGTAATTGTCATTGGTATATTGAAGTTCTTTTTAACTTCTAGTTATGTTTTGTGCCGACGCGTTATCACACCTGAGCATCTCTTTTCTTTGGTTCATATCACATATGAGCTTATGACAAGAACCAAAGACCCTTTTTGGTAAGCCATCAGTGGCTTTACTTAAATTTCCGTCCAAGCCTGCACTGCCTGCTAACTGAACGTTACTTGATTACGAGATAATATTTAAATTTTCGCACTGTTACATATTGAAAAAATGTAAATTTAAACATCAAGTGCCATAAGTCCAATAACGCGCAAACGCAACAATCGATCTACAAAGCACACTGAACCATGCTAGGCTTTGTTTTGCGTAACGCTAAAGTGAACCATGCTAGGCTTTGTTTTGCGTAACGCTAAAGTGTTTAAAAATATTCACATTAAGATCCTACTGTACAACAGCCTCGTACGAAGCATACTTGAGTATTGCAGTGTAGTATGGCGGCCACATTATGCGACACACTCCTTACGATTGGAATGTCTGCAAAAAAAGTTCGTGGCAAATTTGGCCTATTGGAATGGGATTCACAAAAAAATTCGGTATTACGAAAAACGATTAAGATTCTTTAAAATTTTATCCCTGGAAAATCGGAGAAATTTGCTTGATCTGTCATTTCTTGTTAAAATTTTTTAATCAAAAAATTAACTGTCCCCTCTTGCTCCAAAAATTTCAATTTCAATTTAAACTCGGTGCGTAATTGCGCACCCCCATTACTCCATTTTGCCCTCCGATTAGGAAATCTGTCTTAGGTGCAAACTCCCCAATTCCAAGGTTGTGCAAATTGGTCAATGGACATAGTGACAAAGTTGACATTCATGCCAACTCATTTGCCAAAATTAAGAAAGTTCTTGTTTTAGCCTGGTCTGAAACCAACTAATAAATAATAATAAGTTTTTTTACCACATACTTATTTTCATTATTAGGTAGGTTTTTTTTATTCGTATTTATAATCTTTCTCGATGCTTGTGGTGTTTACCTTAAACGATTGTTACACTTATCTACGTAAGTTAGTTCTTAAGCCATTTTGTTAAATACAGTGTAATCAAACATTGGTAAACCTTAATAAATAAATAAAAAAAACATCTTTGCACTCGTTGGCCTCACATCGAAGCTTCCTAACCTATTAATCTTGCTAATCATTAAAAAAATTTAACAATTATACAATCACTGTGGCCAGTTGTACAGAATTAGTAAATGGCATGAGCTTTCCGACCTATTGAAAGACTTGACTTTAGAGCGCTAAAGTCCTATACTTTAACAGCACACTTACGGGCCCCGTGCGCCAACGACGTCTATAAGTCGTCTATGTTTGACCACTAGTATTGTAATGCGGGAGGCATAGATTTCTTGAGAACTTCAAACTTTGACTCAAGCGTGTTATTTTTTTTTTTTCAATTATTATTGATATTTGAATAAAGCAAAAGGTAAGAAACATAAAACTAGCTACATGAATAGAAAATGTCATAAAATCTACTTCGCATAATAAATCTAATATTTCAACTCCGGCGCATACTTAGCATGTCATCGATTATCAGTTCACTGGGCGCCGTGGTCAAGGATAGACGATACCCTAATGAGTTTTGTTTCAAGGTTAAAATAATTCTTATCATGTTTATCTACTTTTATAATGCAACTAGTAGATAATTTTGCCTCAAAAAGCGAATTGTAATATTCTTTAGAGAAATAAATCTCTTAAACAATATTACAGCATAATCCATCTGAAAAGTAGCTTGCGCGAGTAGACTACTAATTTAAATCAACCTAATGAAAAAGCATTAAGGCATAAAAAAGTATTTTTGCTAATTTTCGGCATTACAATCGTTCCAAATATATTATTGTAAGTAGACTAAAAATAGATGTAACTATAAAGTAGTTACTATATACTTAGTTTCCAAGATATCAATACTCAAAAGTCTAATACTTAAACCGAATCAGCACGCCCCGGCTCCACGTTGTCTTGTCTTTTTTTTTTTTTTCTTCATGGGGAAATGCCTACGCATACCCGCCTCGCGGGGGCAAGGACGGGTTATGTCGGACTCGCACCGACTAAAACCCCATGGTGTTCCACCTTTGTCGCATATTGGCAGGGCTACGGGAACGCTTTCGCACACATCCGCGGCCCTACTAGCGCCTGCCGCCCTATGGCAGCACCTCCTCGGGAGAGGAAAATTCCTCCACGTTCTCCTTCCCAGGTAAGGCGCACCAGAACACATGGCGCGCCTTCCTCCACGGCCTCCAATTACGTCTGTGCAACAGACGCCCCCGCGTCCGATGCACAAAGGCCATGGGGCCAGGAAAAACGAGCACTTAGAAGTACTAGCCTTCCCGACCCCAGCGGCGGATCTGGTCTATGGCTCCGCCGCCAACCAAGATTCGGCTGCGGAGGGTAGGGAGAGCGGCGCCTCGCAATACCGACAATCCTCTCCCCCGCAGCCCCACCACCACCGCATCAACGGTGCGGCCCCGTTTGAGTCGCGAAGGATAGGGCGAGTGGCGCATCGCCATACCAACACTCCTCTTCCTCCGCGACTCCACCTCGGCTGCAGCGGTAGAGGGTGCGCGAGTCCCCACTCGCTGCAGTCCGCCAACACACATCCAAAGTGGGCTCCCCAAGCCCACTCGGAGTGGCCACCTCAGGCCGGCCCTTCACCTCGGGCCAGCCACATGGGTTCCTCTTTGTTCACCGTGGGAGACTAAGCCACGGCTACTAAGCCCCCCGCCACGGCTACTAAGCCCCCCCGCCACGACAAGGCGGGAACCCGTTCGGGGGGGACGTTGTCTTGTCTGCCCTACACCTAGTCATTTCATTCAACAGCTACGCCGTTGTCGTCCAGTCCTGACAGTGACTTCCACGATGGAGAGTAGTGCTGTGGTTTACTACTATTTTATAATGTTTGTTTTATATTTATGTACAAGTACGTATATATAAAGAGTGGGAGATATCATCCCAGATTATAAGTACTTATTGTGAAAAAGGAAATATACAGAAAGAAGTCGCTCTTAATACACTTCTGTCACCCGTGTTCACATTTCAGTCTTAATTGGCATCCATTGTGACTTGTACTCACACGTGTGCACCGACGAACTCATTGCAATTGCCCCAATTGCGCTACACACGCGGCAGCGGCAGCTATGATTTAGAGAGCAAGGAAGGTCTTGCGCTCCTGCCGCCCTGCCGACGTAGGATATTGCCCCTGCTTGCGTTACACACATCACAATTAGGGGTCATCCCCACTCCTATACCCTAGATTGCCCCTGCGACAGGCAACTGAGTAGAATACATGATACAGGAATGCGTTTGTGGTGTGGTGCTCAAAAGGTTAATACTTTTCGAGGGATGAAGTTCCCATTTATGCCATATGAAGATCATAATGATGATCCCAAGTTTTATCTCCAGTAATAATCCGACCTTTAATAACTCTAATCTCTTGTTCACATTTGTGCATTAGAATAGAATATATTTTATTCAATATAGATAACAGATTAATACTTATTGAATGTAAATTTTTATTTACCACATTCGCAGCTTAATATTATTGTAAGTATTTTTGGTGCTTGGAAATCGTTTATAACTAGACATTCTTTTTTTTTTTCAGGTTATGCCACAACTTCTTAATTTTATTAATGTTGGTATTGATATCAATAGCATCGATTGGGGGATTCTTGCTATATATACTTGTAAAAACAGTTGTAATAATGGCCCTGCATATAAAGAAGAATATATAATCAAACAAGATTTATGTAATTAAACTTTATTTACTTATAAAATATTAAATAACATACCTAACTAATTATCTTTTACTGGTTTCTTTCCGTAATCTTCAGCTATATATGTAAGCAGGTCATTTAGACCACTAAATTCTGTTCTTGACTGTGGAGGATTATTTTTAGGAAGTACTGGTAATAAATTTCCTATTTTTATCCTGAAGTCTTTAAGCTGAAATATAAATATACAATTATGTTATAATCATTGATATATGTAATACATATTAGAGCAGACACTGCAATGCAAGTAATTGCGCCACGCTTTGTCGCAACTATCTCCCTCAGTAACAACTGTAGGTGCATGACATGAACTTATAGATTATGGATGTATAAATAAACTTCTGAAAATGCTTTCATCTTAATGCCCACTTTAAAAGTGTGACATTTCATATGTTCAATCAAGCTATTCATTTAATAAAACGATACTGGCGCGCCATTTTATCAACGCAAATTATAGATTATAAAATATGTATCGAGCAGATGTGACAATATTATAAATTGAATTATTATCTATGCTATATATGATAACGTAAATACAAATTATAAATACATAAAATTCGTGGATGCTCCATTGGAAAATGAAAATGCTGTTTTGGCCCTGGGTACAAAAAACAGTCCAAAACTGAGGATCGGAAAAACTTTATTTTAACTGATTTATGAATCTTATTTATATAATTAAGATACAGACAATAAATAACACATTATAATCAAACTTATTTTTCAGTTTAAAATTGATTTTGTCAGTCCGTTATTAAATCATTTCCGCGCATTTTAGTCGGAAAACCTACATTCTCAATTACAGATATGCTGGAATACTAAGATATCTTAAAATTATATCCATGTTTGCTTTTTTCCGTAAATTTGAAAGCTGGGCTGGTTAAATCTTTAGTATTTCTTTAACATAACAAATATTGATGACTATGAAAGTTATACCAGTGTAAACATAATTTTTAATAAAAAATTTCAGACAATTTTTAAATAATAAAAAATTGTAATCATAAAAAAGGTATTTTGCTAATTAAAGTCTTAAAACTATCTTTAAATATATGTCGCCCGCAAGGATATTTTCTAAGCCTAAACTTTACATTGTCTTTTAATTTATTATAAATTATAATTGTTAATATTACAATTTAATAACAGCAATTTATCAAAAACATAACATGTAACTAACTATGATTAAAACTACTTTTACGGATTTTATCGCGTTTATTTTTACTTTTTATTTACTTTTATTTTTGATTCCCGACGTTTCGGGCGCTTTCCAGCACCCATGGTCCCCCGTGACCATGGGTGCTGGAAGCGCCCGAAACGTCGGGAATCAAAAATAAAAGTAAAAATAAACGCGATAAAATCCGTAAAAGTAGTTTTAATCATGTTAATTAGTAAAAAATAGTGTTCGCGTAAATATAAGAAATCATTATGTAACTAACTAGTTCTTTAAAAACTCTTTTGGTTTACAAATCTCTTTATTGACTTCTAATTCCTGGTAAAACAACTATTTATTCCATTATCAACTTTTAACTCAAATATTGTTTTAAATCGTAGAATAAATAATTGTCGATTTGATTATTAATCCTGATAATTGAAATTGCTTAAGTAACCTAATGAATTCAATAAAAGTTATTGTTTAGTCAAGTATTGACCAATCAAATCGTCGACTAATCAGAGCACACCAAAGTCGTTATTACGTTTTCCTTATTGAATGAACGCGGGAACAGAATCACTTCAGTTCCTGCGCTCGTCAGTGTAGTTCTATTTTCCTGGTAAAACTTTGAAAGTATTATTTGTGAGTCTTATAATAGGAAGTGTAGAATAAAGTTGTAGTGCAAAATTAAAAGGGTGTGGTCTTAGATCTCTTTCATTACAATGGAAACAGTATACGGTAGCTCGACTGAACCCTTGTCAAATGGGGACAGTGGTGCTGCCTCACCATAAAAACAACCACTGGGTTTTCCGCTCCAACAATCATGTTTGTTTCCTTCACATTGCGCCGGTGTGTAATTGTGACAGGGACACACTGCAGTATGGTCAAACTGTAATTACTCTATGCTGAATGTATAGAGCGTTACGCTGTCCTATTATTGATAACAATAAATTGCGCAAGCAAGAGAGCAAGTTGAACATCAGCTCTCACATTTTTACCATTTTTAATAATTAACGCTATCCTATTATTTCCCACACAATTTTGGCTTATCGTGTTATACTTTCCGACATCAGAAATGGAATAAAGTTCTTCTTATCGCCCACATGTAATCTTCGAATAGTTTAAATGTTGTTACGTTTGTGAAAGACTATGATACGCTGTTACCTGATATCTTTGATTTTTTTTATGTTACATAACTTAATGAAAACTGCTGTTCCTATTACCGACATTGACTTATCATTAAAATATAGAACAAAAGTTTAAAGTGAAATGTTTTAAGCCAAACGTTAATTCTTTTAGTTTGATTTACATCAAAAGTACCCGCAAGTACTTTGTTACTTTTTATGTACCCAAATATGTTAACAAATGTTGAAAGTACAGTGGAAATTTAAGTTGCTCGAGTGATGTCATTATTTGATAGTTCATGCGAAATATGATTTACTTTGGGTACATTTTAAAGTACGAAATGTTAAGCGATGTACAAAAAAAAAATGTCTAACTTTAATGTGCTATCGATTAAAAGAGTAAGTAGCTATTTGTGTTCTAATGTGCTGATAAGTGTTACAGTTTACCGGTTTACGGGATTAGCAGAAGTCACTACTACGATGATCAATAAAGAAGATGTCCATAAGAGCCAATCGACAGCGACAGTGATACGTTATCGTTCCTACAATACTGTCACTGCTAACTCCAATACTCTCACCCTCAAAGGTAATGTGTCAAATATGAGCGTGTTCAGAGTTCAGGCGAATGCGTGTAAGTAAATATCTTATCTCACTGTGTTATAGTTATTAGTATGCAATCACATTTCTTCGGCTAAAACACCTATCAACTCGGTGATTATGACATTCAATTGAAAGTCACTAGCCTTTTGAAGGGACGTGCTAAAATATTGGCCGATAACCGGCTAGTGACGAATTCTACGTGGGAAGATTTGCGTCAAAACATCACCCCCACCTCCGAACCTGAAAGCCGTTATACGCGTGACATACTGAGATTTAGAGAGCAAATTTACGACTCTTCTAAGGATATCGCAGAGTTCTTATCTCGGGCATGATTTCTATGAAGACGCTTGACGAAAGACAAACTTGAAAACAGTGATGCTGTAGAGGCCGTTATCGGAACCGTGGGTGACGAACGCCTTAGAATTGAGTTAATGAATGTTAGGGCCACCTCGATGCCAGAATTGATATTCGTTGGCTCATCCATTCGTGTTAAGCGTCCCATTACATTCCATAAATAATTCAAATCTACCGCCCAAAAAAAAAAAAGTTTTAAATATTCTTTTGATAACAGAAGTTCTTCTTGTAGTATTTGCGAAAAGATCGCCCATACTTCTGATAATTGCCGTACTAAAAGTAATTCTAACGTGCTTTCATTCGATAAAAATCGGTCGACGCCTTTAGCTACAACTAGTGATAGTAAATTTTGTTCATTTTTGTTCAAAGCCTGGTAAGCCTAATTAGTTTAATGTACGACTGATTAATATTATTCTATATATCCTAGAATTATTTATTATACCTCTAAATCTAATATAAAGATGCTGTATTGATTGTAATAAGTAGCAACAGGTAGGCAGATGTTAAAGTGTAAACAGTTTTGATTTATAATGAAATATATTACATTGTTAATGTAAATGATAATAATTAAATGTATTATTAATTATCAACTAATTGTGGATGAATAATCGTTTGTTAATAACTATTATATTAATTTAAGATAGTGTATTGATAATCGAAGTAAATGTCATATCGGACAGTCGTTGCGATAGGCAATCATCGCGTGGCCGTTTACAAGGAACAGGTGAATTTTGTGATTAAAGTGCTGTGGAGATATTACTGGATTTTATTTTCTGGAACACTTCTGAGGCTATCCCAATATCTCAGAAGTGGGATAAAGTTCTTCTTATCGCCCACATATAATCTTCGAATAGTGTAAGTGTTGTTACGTTTGTGAAAGACTATGATACGCTGTTACCTGATACCTTTGATTTTTTTTTTATGTTACATAACGTAATGAAAGTTGCTGTTCCTATTAACGACATTGACTTATCATTAAAATATAGATCAAAGTTTAAAGTGAAATGTTTTAAGCCAAACTTTAAATTTTTTGGTTTGATTTATATCAAAAGTACCCGCAAGTACTTTCTTAATTTTTTTTTAATTAACCCAAATATGTTTCAATTTAACCATAAAGTACCGTGGAAATTTAAGTTGCTCGAGTAATGTCATTATTTGATAGTTCATGCGAAATATGATTTACTTTGGGTATATTTTAAAGTACGAAATGTTAAGCGATGTACCAAAAAAAAAATATCGATTAAAAGAGTAAGTAGCTATTTGTGTTCTAATGTGCTGATAAGTGTTACAGTTTACCGGTTTACGGGATTAGCAGAAGCCGCTACTACGATGACCAATAAAAAAGATGTCCATAAGAGCCAGTCGACAGCGATAGTGATACGTTATCGATCCTACAATACTGTTACTGCCAACTCCAATACTCTCACCCTCAAAGGTAATGTGTCAAATATGAGCGTGTTACGAGTTCAGGCGAATGCGTGTAAGTAAATTTCTTATCTCCCTGTGTTAAGTTATTCGTATGCAATCACATTTCTTCGGCTAAAAACACCTATCAACTCGGTGATTATGACATTCAAATGAAAGTCACTAGCCTTTTGAAGGGACGTGCTAAAATGTTGGCCGGTAACCGGCTGGTCATGAATTCTACGTGGGAAGATTTGCGTCAAAACATCACCACCACCTCCGAACCTGAAAGCCGTTACACGCGTGACATATTGAGATTTAGAGAGCATATTTACGACTCTTCTAAGGATATCGCAGAGTTCTTATCTCGGGCATGATTTCTATGAAGACGCTTGACGAAAGACAAACTTGAAAACAGTGATGCTGTAGAGGCCGTTATCGGAGCCGTGGGTGACGAACGCCTTAGAATTGAGTTAATAAATATTAGGGCCACCTAGATGCCAGAATTGATATTCGTTGCCTCATCCATTCGTATTAAGCATCCCA